GAATTTTTTGTACTTTTTGGATTTCAGATTTGCAAATAAGGAATTGCTAATTGACAGCTGTAAAGGAACACTGATATAGAACAAAATATAAAGCTACTGCCAAACATTTTAGGTCAAATACGCAATTTATTTCTCAAACCCTTTCTTGGGAAGCAACCCTTGTGATAGTTAAAAAAAAACCTTGCATCTCACTTCTTGGAGCCCCCACCTGCCTGGTGACTGATTGCTTAAGAAACAGTGAGTATTATGAACTCTGAGACTCCTTATGTGACAGTGCGATCAGTTATGCTTAGAATCAGAATTCCTTGTGTCCTTCTGTTCTTTCTTTCCTCCCTTCCTGTGTTCTTTTTCATCATATCAAAAGATTCTTTCCTCTGCATTGTAGTCCGAAAGGTCATTTTCTTTTAAAATATAGGCATATCTCACTGGTTAATGGCTTCCTGAAGGAATACCTCTCTTGGCTTTTAATATGCAGCATTAAAGAATATTTTATATCACCATACAATCTTTTTCTTTGGCCAGTGTGTGTGTGTGTATATATATATATATATATATAATGTCCTTAATTTTAATTCATTTATGCCTTGATATTGGAGGCATATATTCAAGTCCAGGAATTTTTTTCTTGTATTTCATAATGAAAAAGTGTTTGGTAGTCAGAGGAGGGTGGGGGATATAATTCTAGACTTAACTGGTATAGACTTTGAAGCCAGTATCAGAATCAGCAGAAAAATTTGATGGGATTCAAAGTTAAGAGGAAGGCTCTGATAGTTTTTCATTTCTTTCTGTTATCCCAGAAATAGTCACGAAAGAGTCTATAATGAAAACAATAATTTAGACGTTCCAGTGACCCATATTTGCAGACAGTGGGCTGTCTCAAAATTGCTTTTAGTGGAAGACCTAACTTTAGCTTCTTTTGATTAAATTATTGTCTGATGCTTTAGCATCATTCCTTCTGCAGCCACACAGATGGTTCTGGACTCAGTTCTATAAGTAGAACAGTGGAATATGTCATGTAAATTAATATTTTATTCTGCAAATAATCTGTTGGTTTAGCTATAAAAATCAATTATAATTAACCAACTATATTTGCTGATACCTTGATGAAAAGATACCTCTTTCAGAATTATTATACATTTATGGTATTGCTTAGTACTCAGCAATACAAGAGTCTCTATATTAACTTCGTAATTGAAGTTCTTGACTGGAGTCTTTACATAGCTCCTCCCTTGAGATACCTAATAAATTAAGGACTTAAGGCATGCTATGGGAAATGCAAACTGCATTGATCATTTGAACAGACCTAGAATGAATTTTCTTTATTCCTTTTTCCATGACCCAGTGGCCCATGTTTACAAACTAAGACAAAAGTTCAAATGCTTTAAAGTAGCTTTGATGGTTGTTTGGGGCTTAATCTATTAATATGTTTAACCTAGTTAAAGCTAGTAATTGTCTTTTTAAAAAAATTGTCTTATTATTTTCTCTTCTCTTTTACTATATCACTTCTTCCGAAGCTCAGATTTGGTGAATTTGCACTCATATTAGCCTCACTCAGTGCCTGAGAAAATAGTGGATAATGCTCAATGAAACCTTAGGCATCCATTTCAACTGCCGTGGCACCAGTGCCATTAGCTGTAAATGAACATGTTGTAAATGATTGCCTAAAGATGTTCTGAAATTGGGGATGAGGTGAAACGGAGAAGGGTTACTTTCAATTATATCTGCCTGTATTTCATATAAGGAGACATTAACAGCTACGTACCATGTGTGGTCTAGAAGTAGAAAAATTAAGTGTCAGAATTCTTTTTTAAGTACTTTATTGCTGTAAGTATTTATGATTACAAGTTTATAATCTTTTCATGCTACTCCATCTAAATAAAACCAAATAACTTTTTTCAAAATTTAAGTATAGGTTGATCATATCTGTTGCTGAAGAAAGAAAGAAAACTAGATAAATCAAGCCCTTGCAATGAGAAAATCAAAGTCAGTTAAGAATCATGATTTCTATTTTGCTTATGTAAGTTGCATCATTTTTATTCAAAAAATAGTATTATTTTTATACTCATTGAAAGAGAAGTTGTTTCTGACTACCTCAGAGAAATACAAAGGAACATTTTATGTTTAACCTTTAGCCAATAACATAGCTTTTTAAAATATTAATTTGTATACTGATGTGTGTATGCTTTTTATGTGTATTATGTTACTTTACTAATAATGACAGTACAGACATAAAAGTAACTTTATAGCTTGGGTTTTTTTTTATCACATTTTATTCTAATAAAAATATTTTAAGCCATGTATGTTCTCCATTCCTAGCTGCTGTTATCATGACTGTAATTGCCTGCTTTCTAGCTGATCTATTGCCAGTCTTTATCTGGGTGGTATTAAAGAATATAAATGTTCCATAGAGCTCAATGGACTCAGCCAGAATATTTTAAGTTTCTCAGCTAAAATGCAACAGATCTGGAGGTTTGGCTGTTAAGTAAGTAGCTTACATTTATTGTCAGAATGTATGAGAAGCTCTAAATTCATTGTGTTAGTTGTTCCTGTGAGGTAGCATTTGAAAAATAGCTTCAGTTGTTTGTGAATTGTGGTCCTTGGGCACCAGATAGTGGATGCTGGGATGTATTGCAGAAAAGCTGATTAAAGTACTAGGATCTCTAACAGTAAGAGTAGAAAGCCGTCTATAATACCTGTGTCTCACTCTGTCGAATGCACTTATTATATATTTCCTTTTGAAATCTTTGGTTTATTATCAGTCTATCTGAGAATGCATAATGTTTTTTCCAAAATGTGCCTTTTGGTAAAAACATCAATAAGCTATGCATGATGAGAAATTCATGTAGGTAGACTGATTTGAACTTTGAGGCTCCCAAATACTTTGCAGTTTTATTACCTAGCTTTGTCGGAGTCACATATCACTGTGACTTATATCTCAATAAGAGCCACATGAAGTTAACAGGGTTAATGTGTTTTTACTGTATATCAGGAAATTTATACTTCTAAATAAGAACTGTCAGAATATCTTTTACTTCTCTCTCCTCGTCTTTTATTCCTTTTTCTTGCCCTTCTTCCTCTCCTGCTACCTTTCTTTCTGTTACCTTCCTCCCCAAAAGCTTAGTGAACTACAATATAAGTGTACTCTTTCTATATGATCACAAAACATCCTTTAAATATTAAGTAAATAGAAAAATATTTTAAATTCTACTGTAATCATTTTTTACTTTAATAGAATAATATTAATAATGTCTTTTGTTTTTGAAGCTGGCATGTAGGCCTTTCAAGTGAATGAATGACTTTATAGATAGTGGTATACACCACAATTTGCTTTATGTAGATCTTGATTTTTTAAGGACTTGAGATACAGATTATGTCATTTTCATCACAACAGGTTTTTTTAAAAATTGATTTTGTAATTTCTGTACTTCTTCCTAAAATGTTCAACTTCTGTATTGTTACCTAAAACATTTAATAAGAATTAATGTTTAGCTTTGAACTTTATTGACTGGAGGATATAATAATATGACCATTCCACTGTCATTTGTTAAAGAAATCTGACATACAATTTATGGGAAATTGGGAAACCAATTCTGTGACCATGAAATTGTGCATTCTAATTTATTGCTATATATTATTAAACTTGTGACTTTATTGGTATACAAGATGCCCAAAGATAGGATAGATTTTTGACATTTTCCTTATTTTAAAATACCTGATTATAATTTCTGTATTTTAACATTATTTTAATCCAAGAGGCAAGACAAAATTAAAAGTAAAAAAATTTGCTAGTCGTGGATTACAGAATTTAAACATGTATTTGGTGATTCTGAGATAGCTTTATCTTTAATGCTTTTTGTAGCAATACAGAAAAAAATGAAGTTCACATTTATAAGTAGAACTTATTTCATATTGGAATTATAACTTTAATTTAGTCTAAAATTTTATATCTACTTTGATTTGTTAGGACACGTTATATAACTATCTCTTTAATGATATAGCAAACTGAGTTCAGTGAGTTATCGCTGAATCATAGTTCTGGCTGTCCTTTTTATTTATTGAATGAACAAACAACTGTGTTAAAATTCCTTTTCCTTCACTTGTGCTTGTGAAAGAAACTTGTTAGATTCTGAGTGCCTTAAGAAATTTGTTATGAAAGATTTTTAATTATATTTCTATTTTCAGTCTGTGTTATATTTTGAAAATCCATTGTTAAAAAATAGAAGTGGGAAAAAATCATGGTAATTGAGTAAGTGCTCATTCTCAGAGACCCCCAACCTTCTTTTAAAACATGTTTTAATATTTATTGTTAGTAAAGTTTGATATTAAAATTGTGTGAACTATAAAGGTTAAAGCATGTTTTTATTATTGTTTAAGAATGTATCCCGTTGCGATTTTTTTGCTTTGCCTCCAAGAGGTTCATAGCATTTGGTACGTAGTTCACGTATTTCTAATCTACAGACCTTCCCTATTGAGGCGGAGGCTTCGTGGTTCTGATATTTGCATTTTTCTACTACTATAATGCTCAATAGTGGTAATTAATTTTGTTAAAAACTTTTCATATTATTACAAATAAAACTGTTTTTGAAGACCAATGATCTGTTCCTCTAAGGAGCCACATTATTTTGCTTTTGTCTCAGAATGGATTATGCTTCACAAGTATACTGTGACAGCCTGAATAGGCAAGGGGGGAGGGGACATTGTCTTCAGCTGGCATGCTGTTATCAGAGGGAATGTGCTCCTGGACAGGAGATTTAGCATTCATTGGTTGTCTGAAGAAAGCTATTTCATCTGAGGATTGGACAAGAAGCTGCGTCAATTTGCTGCCCGTCTCCAAGGCACTGGTGATGCTGCCTTCACAAGCTGGCTAACGTCACGGCTCCATCACCCAGCGGGGTGTGGACTCTTTCTGTTCTCTATTTCATTCTCTATTTGCTGCCTACTGCATTTCTTAATCTGTCTTCTGCCAAATGCTAACAGCATGATATTTTGCAATCATCTAGGTGAATACAAGAAAGATGAACTCCTAGAAGCTGCTAGGTAAGCGATTCCATTCATTTTGAGTATAATTCATTTAAGGGAGAGAGAAGGGGAGGGCAGGTGGAGAAGTATAAAAATTATAAGATGTTATTGTCTTGCTTGGATTTTATGCAGTAATGCAGATATGACCTTGTACTAAATGTTTGTATACTTTATTTTACATGATGAATATATATATTTAGTGATAAAATCTTTCACTGTGGTGATGATTGTAAATTTTATTTGGAAATTTCTTAACCTGCCTACAAACCGTAGTTGCCCAGCCTTTCAAATGATATGTTTGGAGTGTTTAAATACCTGTATCATCATTTTTCTGTCAAGACTTTTGTAACAAAGCCTAAATGAGGGACATAAAGTAAATGTTAAATTCACGCCTATTTTTTTTGTTGTTGTTCTTGAGCATTTGTAATTTAATTGACTTGCTTATTATAGGGTTTTCCATGTATTTCTGAACTCCAGTGTTTTAGATGATTTATTATAATAAAGTTGATTTGTAATTAAAGAGTTGACTTTATGAAGGTAAATGAAACAAATGAAAATGTAGAAAGCTTTATTATCCAAGATATATCTCTATATGATTAACAGGTAATAAATAGAAGTACACTAATTCTGTTAAATATTGGAAAGGAAATTAATTATGTTTTATGTGAAAGAAATCACATCAAATCTTTATTACTCTCTTGTAGAAAATATTCATACACATAACCTCTATGATTTTATAAAAATTGACCTATGTTTTTATAGGAGTGGTAATGAGGAAAAACTAATGGCTTTACTGACTCCTCTAAATGTGAATTGCCATGCAAGTGATGGACGAAAGGTAAGTTATTCAAAATATAATCTTCAATAATTTCTTCTTGTTTTACAACAGATTTTTTCAAGTAGGCATACATGTATCTGTATCTGTATCTACTTGCTTATACATACAATGTACATGGCTCTCTGTTTACTGGCATCTTTTCACTGTAAAATGAACTGCTGCGTTACCTGTTATTAGCAGTTGTGACATATTCATAGAGCTGGTGTAGCATAGCTCTTCAGTAGGCTTTTTCTCGTAAGTGTCATATGCTGAAAGTTGTTGCACAAAACCATTACTTTATCAGTAATTAAAACTAACATACCGTTTTCTGTGTATGACATTGAAAACTGAAAATGTGCCCTATATATTCGCTTTGTCAGGATATTTGCATTCTGACTTATTTGCGGTTTTGTTTACCTAGATATCAGCACTTTTTCCATTAAAACTGAGGAAATGTCAGTGCTGTTTTTAAAAGATCTGTATAACAGCTCTGCTTTTTAAAGTTATGTTAATTGGCTAAGTTTTATTGTAGCATATTGAATAAAATAGATTAAAAGAAAATACTCTGCATTAGTGTACATTTGTCATAAATGTAAGGTAATGTATAGTATCCGGCTGGCAACATTATTATGTGCTCTGTATTCTAGCTGAGTACAGACTAAAATGTAATCTTTTATATCTTGTGGTAATTGACTGCAAAGTTTTGCAACGGTTTAACTGAAGTGACTGAGAAACAAAGTACTCTGTACTGCTGTAAACTGGTGAAGATTTACTCATAGGGTTATTTACTCCAAGGAGATGTTTTTAAATAGTAAGTGCTCATCTCTCCTTCAGTTCTGGAGTTGCTTTGAGAATCTTAACACTCTTGTATGTGCTTTGAGCGAAAGATTTTATTTGGATCCTTTTAATGGATAAAATGACTTCTATCACTGCAGGAAAGGGCCTTCTTATCTGTTGTAAATGCAGCTAGGGGTTTTATACAAGATCTTTTAGAGCCAAACCTACTCATGATAGCCATTTATGTGGAATTACTGTAGCAGCAGTCGGTTTCTGTCCCGGCTTCATTCTCCGGTCCTTACCCTTGTACCTTGGCAGGTCCATTTCTAGTGTGGGAAGTCATCATTATTCAGGTACATGATTCCTGCCACTTAGCGAGTTTTCTCTTCTTTTTGCTTCATCCTCCACCCAGACGTACAGCATTCCATCATTTGTCCTCCCCAAAGGAGAAGACACTCACTTCCATATAGCTGGAACCGTTGTATTCCCCACCCAAATTCTGAGGCTTTTTTTCCATATTTCTTTGTAGCATTTGCCATAGACTTCATGAATTCCAGTTATTCAAATACAGATCTTTTCTTCCCTGTGTTAGTTGTCTTTGTATTTTGCATAGGACAAAGACTGATACTTTCATGTAACAGCAACTTAGGCTACTATGCCGCTGTTCCTTGTTCCCTGATAAATATAATTCTGAGTAAGAAAATCATCTGCACTCTTTTGCCATTTAGAAATTTAAATCAGGAGTATGTCAATGGGATATTTTATATTGTTATTACTAGTACTGTGCTATTAATTTAATTCTTGGTGATTGTAATAGAAGAACTATGTATTTTAATGTGTAGAACATTTTTTAAGAACATACCTCAGATATTACCCTAAAGGAATCCTAATTTAGAAATAATGCAGTAGTTTTCCAAATAACTTCTGACAAATTTTTAGATTAATGTTTTTTCAAATGAGATTAGATAGAAAAAGGAAATCAGGCTTACACATTTATTAGGTTTTATTTTATGCAGAAAATATGGGGAATCATTCACAGTTTCATTAATATGCAAAATGCAAGTAAAGTTGCATAATTTAGTTGAATACTATACATTTTATTCTCATTTATAGCATACACAGTAATTCCTATTAAGTGTATCAGTTGCAGAAAAGCCACAAAGTGGTAAGTATTTTCAGTATTGGAAATTAAGACAATATTTCTTTCTTTTGTTTTCTTAAAACAAAAAATCCTGCAAGCAAATCTGCCTGTTATCAGTAAGTCTCTGTCTCAAATATTTAGTATTTTTTTCAGGCCCTTTGAGTGTGCTTACATAGAAATAGGAAGTCAGATTATATATATTGAGAGAATAAAGATGCTTTTTCATATATAGTAAGGTATAAATAAAGTTTCATTTCTTGACTTGAATTTTAGAACACATTGCAGAATCAAATTCTTTTCTGGAAGTTTCCTGAATGACTATTTGAATGCTTGAGTCCTAGTTTTTACTAAAATTTTTGTTTGTAAATTCAGAAAACCCTTGGAATTGTTTTAGGATACGGGATGTTCTTTATACAATTGTCTAGGAAAATTTACCTAGACATTTGTAGGGATTTGAGACTTTAGTATTCCTTTTTCATGTAATGTGGGGGATTATACAATGAGAATGCAAATTCTAAAAAGACTTTTAATTCTATGCTTTGACTTAATGATCATCTAATTAGGTATTGAGTGGTTAGTAGTAGTATTTCTTGGAGACATTGTTTTTCTAACCTGTGGAATTCTGAAAATAGTGAAGTGTCAGTAAGATTTTGTATACTTTGTATTGTGTTATTCTTTGATTTTTGTCAAAACACAAAATTACAACAAACTGAAAAATCTTGATTGGTTTTTATTTATGATAATTGAAGTGGACAACCCTTTTTATTAAGGAGAATTCTGCTGAGCTCAACAGAAAGCATTATAGACAGTAAAGAGCTCAGGAGAGTAGAAGTAGAACAGATAAGTAGATTGGTCGTTTCAAAGTTACTTTTCTTGTAAAAGTTGAAGCAGGGAGAACTTCCTTGTTGTGCCAGCTTGGGGATTTGGCGGTCATTTTGTCTCTCCTGTTTTCTCAGAAGGTCAGGTAAACAACTTGGTTTCAGTGTGCTGTCGTTGAAATTCAGCTTGAGTGACTTCACATGGGTCTGGACTGTTGGGACTGGTACGGACGCTCATCCCAAACCAATGCCTCCTCTCCATTTTGTTTAACGTTTTACATATAAATAAAAAGTGAAGCTCGTCTATTCTAGGAAATTTCACTTTCGTACCCAAAAATGCAAAGGCAGAAAAAAAGTTTTGTATTTTGCTCTAAAATGCTACTTTCATACAATTATATGTACAGTGTCAATCATAGCTACTTTAGAAACAGGCATAAATATAATTTATGCTTCTAGCTCATGTGATTAGCCATTGCATTGTACAATTCTAATTGCAGCAAAGCACAACCAAAAGCCTTAAAATAGATTGATTGCTTTCTAGAATACCTTATTACTGTATTTTCACACATATTTCTGTACCTTTAATCTCTCTTTACAGTATTTTCTGTTAGTCACTTTTTTAAGCAATTAATCCAAATATCCTACCCTTATTTGCTATTTAAGATGGTAATATTTTTCCCATAACTATACCTATGTATAATAAAGGAAAATATTTGAATGTATCTCCTTTATTATAATTCTCAAGTGTTCTTTTTGTTGCTTTGTGTGTGTGTGTGTTATTATTCCCCTTGTTAGTGTTCTTTATCCTCTTACAAATATCCTAAGTTTATCCCCTATTCTTAACAAGGAATAGATGGAATCAAGGATTACTGTACAGTTTTTAAATAGCAATGGTATCCATCTTTGTCTACATCTGCTACACCTGTTACCGCTTTGATTTTTATGTCACCAAATACTGAAAATAATTAGTATTGATTGGTGCTTTTAAATAAATTGCTCAATGTAATTTCTGATATTTCAGATTTCTTTTTGTTACCTTCATTTATTCATTCACTTAACATGTAATACCCACTACTTATAGATAATTGTATCATGGGACATACATATAAGGTTAATATACTTGTTCTCAAGGAGCTCAAGAATTGATAGAAAAATTAGATTATTCAGAACACTGCGGATAATGTACTAAAAAGTTGTAGTATTACTTTTGCTGTGTTATAGTTATAAAGTATAGATTTAGGGTAAGGTTTTCTGTGGTCCTTTTTTAAATATATTAGTATGTAGCTATATATGCCGTTCTATCAGATATCATAAATTAGATGAATGCAAAATTAGAGGAGCATGATTTAATTGAGAAAACTGAAAGTTTGCTTAAAATGTCAGATTTTTACTATGTAAATGTTTGTGTCCATACAATAGGAGATAAGAAATCTCTGAAAACAAAGATATTTAAAACTGTTTGCATATAGAGATCAGTCAGAAATGATGTATTATACCTGGAAAACCCTTAAAAAACTACATGATATACTTGAAAGAACAGATGATGATCAGAGAGACTGAATTCTGTTCGTGACTCTGCCACTTTCTCTGTGTGTGACTCTGGCTCTAGAATTTTCAATTTGCTAATTAATAACTGAGAATATCAACACATTTTCCATGTATTAGTCCATGTAATAATGTGGTCAGTGTTCTCAGTACAGTTTGTAGGACGTAGGAGAACTTCAGTGAATTAGATCCTCACTCTTTTAACAATTTTTTGAAGCTTTGGAACACAGGTAGAATGGACATATATGTGCTGTAACATTTCCTTTGTCCCCATATAAAATGTCCATATTATTCAAGCTCAGTCCCAGGTGACATCTGGATAAACTACAGGCTACCAGCTGATTAACAAAACATATACTAGAATTAATCCTTCTGGAGCTGTCCCTGTCCAACATTGCATTTGATAGCTGTTCATTTAAATTAGCAGCTTACAAATTCAGGAACATGTTCTTAAGATGTATACCTACTTTTAAACACATATTCATTAAAAGTTAATATTTGCCTGAACACAATACCACAGTGTTCATTTGAATTCCATAAAGTAAAAGTAAAACATGAGAAAGATACCAGATTAGTGTAAGTTTTTGTACCTGTATTTAAGTTTTGGGATTATATTCATTTGTCATATTGTAATATAGGTAGAATTTCTCATTATTCTTGGCCAACTGCCTTCTCTGTCAGTATAACTCTTCTATCATTTTTAAGCGAAGTTATAACAATCCTTATGTGATTTATTGTTA